TCTCGGGATTGCTTCCCCGAGTCTCCTGATGACTTCTATCTGTCTCTTATACACATCTAGATGTGTATAAGAGACAGGGGCTATATATTGCATTTATGGAACAAAGTCACTCATTACCTACTGATTACCGAGTGCTTTACTGACACTCAATCAGTCATCAGTGTGAGTATATATAGAATTGATATTGAACCCCAGTGACACTGACACACACTTACATCCACGGTCAGGAAGATGTGCCAGGTGCGCGGGAATTTTTATCATCATTGCATCAATTTGCGCCGTGCGCCGTAATATGCCGGTAAAAAAGTGCACCGTGCGCCAGCCTGCGCCGTGCTACTAGAGTTGTTTAAAGATGAATGCGCGGCAACGCTATCACACACGAACAAATATCTGCATCACGTTGACTAGATTTCTAACGTGTTAACTCAGGTTCTAAGAGTCGGCAATGTTCTCAATAATTATTCAAAGATCACAATTCGGTTGGAAATTAATTACAAAACTAAATTGTAGTAGGCGACAATCCACATGGCTTGAGATTGGCTCCTTTTAACGAAGGACTTACTTACTTGGTTAAGATACAACGCAGCACCAACGAAGGTATTAGCGCCCGACGAAGGACTGACTTTGGCAAATAGTACAAACCCGAATGTCAATGTCAGGAATACGATGCGTTCCCGACATCCTCCCGGCTGGAGAAATGGGTTTGTGCGGTGCAAACCCATTGAAAACAAAAATACATGCACTGCATTTTTTTTAAATTGTCAGTTCTCATTTTTCGCAACTTTGAAGGTTAATTATATAGACTAACAACAAATATTAATAAAATATGAATAGCTTCAAGAGACTCATACGTCTCAGACAAATTTACGGCCGGACTCTGTACCTGAAATATCTCCCAAAGTACTGAACATAGCTTGATGAAACTTGGTTCACATATTCATTATGGCCTAAGGGTACGCACACAGTGAAAGCAGGTTGACAGCGTGCTGGTTACCTGCTCAGGCTGGCGCCTGAAACCGTAGAATACAGAAGCCTATCTGTACAGGTTTTCACTGTGAACAGTTACATGATTATCCTATGTTCATTCTTGAGGCAGGTTGAAGCAGGTTGCCCGCGCGGGCAAACCTGCTTTCACTGTGTGCGTGCCCTAATGGTGATGTCAAGCGCGTGACAATTCTTTTTAATATCGCCTACATTTGTGAGTTCTATGACGAAACGTGCCGAAATTAGCAGTGTACCTGATATTTCTTCTCAAATACTGAACAGATCTGAACGAAACTTCGCATATAGAAATCTAACCTCCCAACGGTGTGATGTTTAGCTCGAGACAATCTTTTTACGTTTTGCCTTCGTTGGCGAGTATTTTTCTCTTTTCCCTCATTCGTGATTTAAAAAGTAAATTTGTTTAAATTCGCAGTGTACCAGAGATTTCTTCTAAAATACTGAACAGATTTGAACGAAACTTTGCATAGAGAAACCTAACTTCCCAACGGTGATGTTTAGCTCGTGACAATTTTGTCAATTTTGCCTTCGTTTGCGAGTTATACGGCTTTATGTATATGGCTCTTGGTCAATGCAAGTTCAAAAATCGGCCTGAGAAATGCTGGTCGTTTCTCCGTATAACTCGCAAATGAAGGTAAAATCGAAAAAATTGTCACAAGCTAAACATCACCGTTGGGATTGGGAAGCTAGGTTTCCATATGCAAAGTTTCGTTCAAATCTGTTCAGTATTTTAGAAGAAATCTCTGGTACACTGCGAATTTAAACACAATTTTGCGTAAAAAATTGTCACGAGCTAAACATCACACCGTTGGGAGGTTAGGTTTCTACATGCAAAGTTTCATTAAAATCTGTTCAGTATTTTAGAAGAAATGGCTGGTACACAGGTCTCGGACAAATTTACAGCCGGACTGGCAGCCGGTCTCGCGGCCAAAAGGTTTTCTTAGTGTTTTTATGAGTTTTTCTAGGTTTTATGTGTTTTTAATGGAACCTGTTCCTAACTGGACCTAACCTGCAAGGTTTTCGTTGAGTGGCTAGGTTTTTTCTATGTTTTTAGTCCGGCGGCCGCGAGACCGGCCGTAAATTTGTCCTAGACGTAGTGGTACGCTGCAAATTTCGGTACGTTAAAATAATTGTCACGAGCTTGACATCACCGTTAGGCCATAATGAATATGCGTACCAAGTTTCATTGAACTACGTTCAGTACTATTGGAGAAATTTCAGGCAGAGTCCAGCCGCGAAACCGGCCGCAAGTACGGCCGTAAATTTGTCCGAGACGTTATCACATGACGATGAAGCAGCATTGCGTAAAAGTATCTAAGGACGATGTTGGAAATTTCTGATGACAGTTACGTTACGATGACAGTTACGTGACATATTTTATTTACAAAAGATTTCGCACTCAAAACTATTTTCCCATTAATTACAATGATGAAATTATTTCTGACTCCTTTCATTAACCGTAGAATCTCTAATAACCCTATCAGCGCAATAATAGTATATATAGAACGAGCAAAATCTATCATTTAACACTAATATTTGTTTACTTCATATGTCCAATTTCTGAGGACATGGTTATTCACCACTTGCCTCACGTCCGGACTGAATATTGCCTCACGTCCGGACCGGATGGTCTACGGTAGGTAAAAAACACAAACGATGTTCACCAGTTCGTATAAGAAATTTGTAGAAAATTTCTTTGTAAATAAATTTCTAGATTTTTGCTTTCACAAAATTTCCATATCAAGGAAAATCATAGATTATTTATGGATAATTAAATGCATATTACTTATTAAGTATTATACATTTTCTGTCTCTTGTCCCTTGACAAAATGTATGTGCGCGCTACGCCAATGCTTGCGCGCGCTGCGCCAATGCTTGTACGCGCTGCGCCAACGCTTGCGCGTGCAAGCAGGGATGGCCAGAAGTTGCACCAACTGTGCGCCGCAATAGCTTGAAAAAAGTCAAAATGCGCGGGAAAATTCACTGAAAACATACATAATCCTGAGTGTGGTACAGTGTCGGAATATACCAAGTTTACCCTAGGCCAGTAAAGTATCTTAGATACCAGAATTATCATACATAAGAAATCTGTTAAAATATTGAGTAAATGAGGAAATTAAAAATGAACTGATTCTAAAAAATCACTGGTTTGCCACTACGCGCTGCCAGCCTTATTAAATAAAATTATTTAATTATAAATTAAACTAAACCACATATTTCAAGCAAGATTG